GGTTAAATATACAGATCCACCTCGCTGCTCGCCTTCCCCCCTGTCGAAAAGGAAAACGATCGAGGGCGGGCGGGGAGGGAGGAAATAATAAGGTTGTGGAATCGTGTACGTAGCACCCCGCAGATGCGGACAAGAGTGATGGGGCGGTGGGGACGTCGGCAGTCTGCGAGACTTGGGAGAGGGCCACCGCAGGCGCCAAAGTTCCACAAATCATACAACGAGCCCGCAGCAGGCGCCGATTTTTCGTTAAACCAATGTGGGTCTGTCGCGGGTGGGTCGCAAATGGGTCGCGGCTGGGTGGCGGCTGGATTGCGAGTGGGTCGCAGGTGGATCGCGAGGTGGGTCGCGGGTGGGTCGCGGGTGGGTCGCGGGTGGGTCGCAATTGGGTCGCGGGTGGGTCGCGGGTTGGGTCGCGGATGGGTCGCGGGGTGAGTCGCGGGCGGGTCGCAGGGTGGATCGCGGGGTGGGTCGCGGGATGGGTCGCGGGGTGGGTCGTTGGGTGGACGACGAGGACAAACCAACAACAGCGCAACAACGCGACAAACATAATCCTCACCACGGACCCCAGTTCAGCCACGCACCCAGGGACAATGAATGACCGTCCAGCCCCCTCACTCTGACATGCGTACACACATGCACATACATACATGCACATACATACACACATACATACGTACGTACGTACGTACACATACATACATATACACACATCATACACACATACATAACTACAAACATACACACGTACAACCATACATACATACATGCATGCATGCATGCGTGAATGACCGTTCGGCCCCCTCACTCTGACAAAAGTGGGTTTGTCCTGTCGCTCTCCGCCTCCTCGCGGTCGGCGCGCAGCGGCCAGGGCGCGTCGGCGGCATGGGCGGCGTGCGCCCGGTCAACGGCTTCGGCGGGGCTGAGCGGGGGCGTGCGCTGGGCTTGGGGCGGGTGGTGGAGAGGGTTGTAATGATGGTGATGCTGATGGTGATGGTGGGGGTGATGATGATGGTGGTGATGGTGGTGGTGATGGATGTAACGGTGGTGATGATGATGGTGATGATGGTGATGATGATGATGGTTGAGAGGATTTTGATGATGGTGTTGATGATGGTGATGGTTGGGGTGATGATGACGGTGGTGATGGTGGTGGTGATGGATGTAATGGTGGTGATGGTGGTGTCGATTATGATGGTGATGCTGATTCTGGCGATGGGCTTTTGATGATTGTGAAAAGTGTTTGGTAATGACGATGTCTACCGCGATGTTGGCGGTAATATTGATTGCGAGATGACCATAGTGGTAATGATGACTGTGATGAAGGCGATGGTGATGACTATGATGATTATGCTGGTGTTCCGTTCAGGTGCTGGCGATTATGCTGCTTATGAAGCTGAGGACGGCGACGCCGTTAATGTTGCCAATATGTAATTCATGGTTTATTGAACCACCGGCAAATTTCATCAGGCTGCTACCGACTGTAGTTGGTTGATGCCCGGCGCCTTCTGATGGTGCTGATCTCAACTCCTTCTTCCACTATTCTACTGTTCGGGAGCGCGAGACCTCTTCCAATGTTGGCGTGGGCACCACAGTCGCGTTCTTCATGGTCACGTGATCCCCCATTTGTTCCCTTCCTGTCTCGTTCTCAGTTTTGATATCGTCCCAGTTGGTTCGCAACGCTCCGCACGTGTCGATACGTTTCCAGCCTCTCATCGTGCGAGGCGTCTCTCCCGCCCCAGTACCCGCAGCAGCACTCTAAAGCTCGTTATCATGCCGCCGCTCGCCGACGCAGATCTCTGTCGGATGCCTGGTCCGGCCATTGCCCCGAGATCGTTCGCAAACTGTCGGCACGCTCAGCCTCTGCCGCTGTCGGGCCTGGTGTCGCGCTTGCCCCACTGCGCCTCTCGCTCCTCGGAAAAGCTGGGAGCTCCCCGGGACTGACCCCTCCACGTCGCAGAAGTTTTGGTGCAGGTTGCAGCCTGTGCTGCTGTGCTGTGCCCTGGTCGTCTTGAGATCCCACAGATTGCTACCAGCGGCACGCCTGTGCCCCCTATCGGGGGCGGAGCAGTTCTCCGCTTGCCCTCGGCGGCAAACACGACGGCTCTGGTGATGATCCGGATGGTCAGTATGGTGCGGTGGACGCTACTTATGACGATGGTGGCGATGACGATGAGGGTGGTGGTGGTGGCAATGATCACGAAGGGGGAAGGGACAGGAGGATGGGGAGGCAGAAGAGATTGGGGAGGAGGAAAAGGAGGAGGGAGACAATGAAGGAGGGAGGGATGGGCGTGGGCGAGGTGGGAAGAGGAGAGGAGGAGAAGGAGGATGAGGAGATGAAGAGGAGGAGGAGGAGGAGGAGGAGGAGGAGGAGGAGGAGGAGGAGGAGGAGGAGGAGGAGGAGGAGGAGGAGGAGGAGGAGGCGGAGGAGGAGGAGGAGAACGAGGAGGAGGAGGATGGAAAGGGAGAGGGCAATGAGAGATGGAAGGGCGTTCGGGGAGTATGGGGACAGTGGAGAAGGAGGAGGAGGATGCGGAGGAGGAGGAGGAAGAGGAGGAGGAGGAGGAGGACGACGATGACGACGACGCTGACGACGAGGCGGAGGAGGGCAGGAATGAGGCGGGGTGGGGGAGGGCGGGGGGGGTCGGAAGACCAGGGGTCACGAGAGACATGGGGAAGGGAGCAAGTGAGGCCAGGATGGATGGGAAGGAGGAGGGGGCGGAGGAGGAGGAGGAGGAGGAGGAGGACCGACAGATGAAAGGGGACGAGGTGATGGGACGGACGGACGGAGGCGTGCCCAGCCGAGCCGTTTGCAGTCTTGGCTCACAAGCTTTCTGTGGTCGAGCCGTCCCCGCGCGCCTTCCTGTGCGCCTGCCCCTGGGGGCCGTGGCGGCGCTCTGGAGGACGTCGTCACGAGGGTGGTGCACGGCAGTGTCCACGTCGATCCCATCGATCCGCCTCGACGTTGATTCCAGTGGGGGGCCACATGCGAACCCAACCCCTACCCCCCACGATTTCTGAGGGGGAGGGTGGGGATCACTTCGCTCGGGAGCGCCCGAGCGAAGTGAACCCCACCCCCTCCCTCAGAAATCGGGGGGGGGGGGTAGGGGTAGGGTTCGCATATGGCCCCCTCTCCAGCCGGCCCGACCCGATTCGACTCGCTGTCGATGCGACTGGCGATCCGATGCGGCCCGATGCCTGCATGAGCCTGCCGTTCATCCCGGCGCGGCCGATGCGGTTCGGTGTCGACTCCCTGCCAATGGGGCCCGACCCAACTGACGGTCCCATCCGATTCGATTTCCCGATTCGATGTTGACTGGTTTTGCCCCGTGGGATCGGGTCTCAGGCGCGCTCTGTAACACATGGAGCACAGTCCGTGCTGTTCTCCGACAGTAGCGCTTTCCATTCTGTCTTGAAGATTGCGGCACGATGAATCTGCAAAGGGTCACGTATCAGAAGATCTTGGTGGCCACTCTTCGACTCGGGGCCGCTGCGTGGCCTTCCTCGGCGCTTTCGGCCGCAGTACTGACGCCTGGGAGTGCTGTGCTGTATCGGGTGGTCATCCTTCATTGCTTGGAGCACGTGTCGACCATAGGGTTGAAGGGACTGCGGTGGTGGAGGTTCAGGAGGAGGATGAGGTTGAGTAGTAGGAGCAGGAGAAGGACGAGGAGGAGGAGGTGCCGGAGACGCTTGAAATAGGGGGCCGCGAGCGCTCCGAGCCCGATGGAGCGCCTGCGGCGGCGAGCACGGACGGAGTTGCTCCGCCTCCTGCTTCGCCTTCCGGTACAGCTGCTCGCACACCTTGTCGGCCTCCGCCCTTCGCCGTTCGGTGTCTTCCAGCGTGCTCCTGTCTTCCCCTTGGTGGCGCTGCAGCTCGTCCTTGAACTTGGCGCACTCGGCTGGGGCCTCCGCGTCGTCAGTCTCCTCCATCTCCCGCAGCAGTTCCGCTGGAATCTCGACGCCCAGGAAGCGCGCCGTAGCGTCCGCGCTAGCACCTTCGCGCGCAGCCGCCCCCGTAGATGCTGCCAGGTACTCCGCTTTGACCTTCTGGAGGAGCACCTTCGCAGCGTGCTCGTCCGCCGCCAGGTCGCGCTCCGCCTCCAGCTCCTCAGGTTGCCTTCTCGTGGTCTGCACTTCGTACTCCTTGCTGGCCAGCGCCTGCCTCTTTTGGTTGGCGTTCGCCGGCTCCGCCTTGAGTCTCGCGGAGACGCCCGTGGGCTGCTTGGCCTCCTCCCCGCTGTTCGGCTTGGCGCGCTTGCGCAGCACGCTGAGCCCCTCTTCCTGTCGCATCCCCAGCCCTCGAGCCGAAACAGGAACGAGGAGGAGGAGCAGGAGGAGGAGGAGGAGGAGGAGGGGGAGGAGGATGAGGAGGAGGAGCAGGAGGACGACGACGACCACTTTGGTTGTTCTGTTTGCCTGTGTCACCCCCTAGAACCCCTTTTGAAGCCGTCTCGCCCTCTTGAACCTCTCCTTGCCCCTGACGCAACCCACACTATTTCTGGGTATCCCCAAACGCCCCTCCACCCTCGTCCTGTTTCGCACGCTAGTATTTAGGCATGCCCAGGACGAGGATACACCGCTCCACGAGAGTGAAGCACGCGGATGAGGCGTGAGGATGCCAGTGCCCTCAGAGCGTTCCCGGCCGCTCTTGAGTGGCTGCGGCGCCCGACACTCGGGGGCGGAAAAGAGGTGGGTGATGACTGGGGGTGGTGGATATCATGGCGGGGGCCATGATATTCCCCCAGATTTCATGGCGCCTCTTCTTGCTTCCATTACGTCCCTGGCCCCCCCGCTGGGCCGCGCACACGCCGCCGGCCATGATTTGCGCCCCCCCCTCTTGGACACCCCCCTCTTGGCCGCCCCCGAAGATCTCATCCGAATCTGTCCTCATCATCCGAATCTGTCTTATCGTGCCCTCGTCTGAGCATGTCGGCTCAGCGCGGGCCGTTGGCCTGGCCGCCCGCCCGCCCGCCCTGCCGTTTGCGGGCGGGAGGCGCCCGGCCATGGACTTCAACCTCCGCCTGACCAGGGTCGCGTGCGCGGCGGAGGAGCTGAAGAGCTCGCGGGCGCAGGTCGCTCGTCGTCAAGCTCACCACCCACCAAACGACCCCAACCCAACCCGAAGGCCCCAATTTGCCCTCCATTTCCAGTGTGGGGGGGGGGGTCGGGGAACATTTGAAAAAACTCATGGAACCCGTACCCGCCCCAACCCGAAATTCGAGTCAAGTTCGGGTCTTCGGGTGGGGTTGGGGTGGTCTGGTAGGTAGTCAGTCAAGCGCACGCCCTCACCGGCCCTGCCCAGGCGCATCCTGGCCCTCCGCAGGGCTCTGGCGGTGGCCAGAGTCTGCCCCTGCAGGGCCGCTGTCTGGCGTCGCCGGGTGCTCGGGTGCTTTGCCGGGGGTGATGTGCAGAGGCCTGGCAGCGGGGCTCTGTGCACCAACCGTGGGCCCGGGGCAGGACCTGTGTCTGCGTGCGGTTTGGGATCTCCTGCCGAGGACCTGGGAGTGGGTCAGGCCGCGTTGGCCTTGTCTGCGAATCAAGCGCAGAAGCCGTTCAGCACCAGCAGTCTTCCGGTGCTGAGACCAAGGCCCAGGGAGTCTGCAACACAAGCGTACTTACATTTTGGTGCCCGCTCCCTTACCCCTCATTTCCTCCCTCCTTTTTCTCCTGCGGGGAGCCTCCCAGGCATCAGCGGAGAGAGGGAGAGAGAGCCCCTAACCCTTTGAAAACCCATCGACGAAGATGTGTGCTACTGGACTTCACAAGAGGGAAGAGATGTTTACCCCTTCTGGGGTCCAAGGGGGCTGTCGACAGGAAACCTCAAACAAGTGGCTGGGGCCAGCCTTTCCAGCCTTTCCAGTCCTCGCCAGATCCCCCCATTTTCTCCAGTGCTGGTGACCTCATCCCACATGTTTCGGGCTCGTTTCATCCACCGTCGGTTTTTCAGCACGCCGCCCAGCTAGTCTGGCTCCTGCCCGTTTATCCATGTACCACTCAGTCGGGCGTGTCCCTCTACAGGAGGAATATTCCACAATTGTCAAACAGTAGTATTCTTTTTTGACTCTTTTTGAACATTTTTGAATATTTTCATTTTTCGCCCAACATCCGCCTGTAGGCGGACATGCCCGACCTAAATGTACCATTTGTTCGAGGTTTCTTGCAGAAACTCCTACTGGGGGGTTCTTGGGGCGCTGTGGCAGCTGTGGTGGCGGGAGCGGCAGAGGCGAAGGAGCTGCAACAGTGAGCGTAGCATTCTGACCTTACGTCGGGCATGTGCCTCCACAGGAGGAACATTCAAACATAGTCAAACATTAGTCTGGAAACGATGTTCCGACTGTTTTCGACTGTTTGTTGAGTACGTCTCGATTATCTACGATGTTTCGTCCAACGTCCGCCTGCAGGAGGACAGGCCCGACCTGACTCCAATCTAAGACGACCTTGGACGGCTTGGGCTTCCGGCACGGGCCCTTGGGGTCGGGCGAAGAGAACTATGCACATGCACCGATCCTGGCAAGGCTCATCCTTGACCCAGGATCGGTGCATATGCCTTCCTGGCTAAGGTAGGAGGGCGTATGCACCGATCCTGGGCTCAGGATGGGCCTGGCCACAAACGGTGTATGTGCATAGTTATTTTCTATGGGGGTCTTCGAGGCATCCCAAGATCCATCCAAGAGCGCACGAAGACGGGCCCCCTGGAGGCCACCCTGCCGCAGCCGCGGCTTCTTCGAGGCCCCGGGAGAGGCGCCGAGGCAGGCCCCAGAAACGCCCAGGCGCCCAAGGACCACGGCTTTGTGTACCTCGGGCATGTCTAAGCGTCGAGTGCGAGGATGGTCAAAAGGGTCCGAGGGCGCCCCGCATGTGCCAGAGGCAGAGTACAGTCAACCCGCATGGCAAGGATGGGCGATTCTCCCCCAAGGGTGATCTTGCATCCCTGCCTCCTCGGCCCATCCTTGGCCACTTTCGCTGGCCGCGCCCCGCTCGAAAAGCTTCGAAATGGGCGTCCGAGGCCCTTGCATCCTGATCGCACATCCTTGCGGGCCGACTGTAGCAGGACTGTTTTGAATTCCTCCTCTTTAGTTCCCTCCTTATTTTCTCCCCATCCTTCTCCTTCTCCTGCTGCTCTCTCCTTCTCCTCTCTTCCTTCTGCCTCTCTTTCTCGCTCCTCTTCTCCTCCACCTCCTCCTTTCGACCCTCTTCCGTCCGCTTGCCCCCTACCTACCACCCTCCTTCCCTCCCTCTCTCCTTCTCTTCCCTCCCCCGACGACGACGACGACGACGACGGCGGCGATGACGACGACGACGACGACGACGACGACGACGACGACGACGACGACGACGACGACGACGACGACGACGACGACGACGACGACGACGACGACGACGACGACGACGACGACGACGACGACGACGACGACGACGACGACGACGACGACGACGACGACGACGACGACGACGATGACGACGACGACGACGGCGACGACGACGGCGACGACGGCGACGGCGACGACAACGGCGAGCCGGCGACGAGCCGAGGTGGCACGGCGGCGTGGGCGGCCCCAGCAGCCCTTCCCGCGCAGCCAGGCAGGAGGTGCCCGGGCCTGCCAAACGGGGCCGGTGCAGATTGGGCCAGGTGAGGGGAAGTCTAGGGGAACAAAAAGTGGCATAAACATAAGAACTCGGAGGTCCGCGCGGATTTCTCGGATCGGCGCTGGGGCCACCCCGGCGGCGCCTCCGGCGCCGCCCCTGGCGCGCTCCGCGCGCCAGGGAGGGGGTCCAGCGCCGATCCGAGAAATCCGCGCGGACCTATTTTCTCGGTTTATGCCATTTTTTGTTCCCCTACTCTGAGATCCGGCAGTTCTGGAGGATGTGTCGGGCGCCGCGGCCTCCTCAGAGCCTCCCAGAACGCTCTCAGGGCGCTTTGGAGCGCTCCAGAACGGATGTACCTTCGTCCTCTCCCCGCCCGACGAGGACCTCTTCGAGGGCTTCGTGGAGTGCAGAGTCCAGGGCTATGGGAGGCGCTGCGCTACCCATTGGGCGCTCGAGTTGTCCGGGGTAGCTCGGGCCCGGGGGGTAACTCGGGTTCGGATTCCCGAAAAGCGAACCCGAGTTAGCCCTGACCCGAGTTACCCCTGATGATTTGGGGCTGTGGGCGCCCGAGTTATCCGGGATAACTCGGGCCCGGGGTAACTCGGGTTTGGATTCCCGAACAAGGATCCCGAGCTAGCCCTGACCCGAGTTACCCCTGATGATTCGGGCCTCTGAGTAGAGTGAAGCCGCATCAGATGGATTAGCCACTGTTCATGTATACTCTCGCGTTCTGGCGTCCTCTGCCCATTCGTGGCAGCGGGCTTCCAACCCCGGCCTCGCTCTTGGGCGTCTACGGGCCTGGCATCCTTACCACTACCACGCGTCCTTCCGATCCAGGTATCGCCAGGCGTGCCCCCTGCCCAAGGGTAGAGGAACAACAGTCGGCCTCAGCATACAATTTCGGAGGTCCGCGTGGCTGTCTTGGGTCGGCGCTTGGCGGTCCCCCCGATGCAATACTTCCGCGCGGATCTCCGGCAGTTTATGCTTATGCAAGCTGTTGTTCCTTTCAAGATTCGCCGCCCCAGGGCCTCCAGAGCACCCTTCACGAGAACACGCATGGCACCCCCTACATCTCCAATGCAGTCACAGAGGGTCGTTTGCGGGTCGCTCCTCCGTCCCCCCCACTTCCCCCCTCCTCCTCTTTCCCGTCCCTACCTCCCTTCCCTCTTCTTTCTTCCCCTTTTTTTTCTCCTCCTCTTTTCCTGGGGGGTAGGGGGATGCCTGACTGCAGTTGGACAGCTGGAGACGGGTGGTCAGCCCCGACCCGCGGGGGAGCCCACACGCAACATCTTGCATGATCCCGCGCTGGTTGACGCCAGCGTGGGTGCTGGTCCACTCCGAGCTGCGCTGCCGCAACGTGATTGATCCCCCTTGGACGAAGCAGCATACATACAATATTCAGGGGATCTTTTTTTAATCATTCTTTTGCCGATCGGCGCGGGCCCTCGCATTCCTCCCCCCCCCTCCGTGGAGTAGATCTTGGGTGCTTTAGGCGCCTGTTTCAGGCAGGGGGGGTCTTTCCTCATAGGACACACTGTCGCAAACAGTCGCACTAAGCAGAGGGTCGGAGTCCCCCCCCCCCCTGTCCCCCCTTCCGCCGAATGTCGAAACGCCGAACAACAAAACGCTCACCATACAATGTGCAGATGTGGCCAGCCCCGATTAGCACTGCCCCCGGTCAGTCCCTCACCAGAGTATTGCGCACATCATGGCCAATGCGTCGGCGACGCGGCTCGATTTGGAACCTCGTTGTCCCGACTCGATTTTCTCCACCCCGACATCGCCAGTGCATCGTGGGTTGCCGAAGGGGATTTGGAGGACGAGGAGGAGAAGGAGGAGGACGAAGAACAGGAGGCAGAAGAAGAGGCAGAGGAGGAGGATGATGAGGAGGAGGAGCAGGAGCAGGAGCAGGAGCAGGAGCAGGAGGAAGATGAGGATGAGGAAGAGGGTGGAGAGGGGGTGAAAGGAGAGAATGAGAGATGAGGAGAAATGATGAGGAAGGAGGTGGAGGATGACCAGGAGGAGGAATAATGAGGTCTCCTCCTTGGCAGCGCTGTGCCATCTTGGGCCCCCCTGTTGACCCGCGACCCATTCAGCATGCCCCCAGGTCGGGCAGAAGTCGCTGCCTCGCTGTGCGCGGTCCATGTTCCGCCGCCGCCGTCGTCGTGCCCTCGTCGACGCCTTTGTCGTCGACGTCTTTGTCCCTCCCTCCTCCCGCCTCCTCTGCCCTCCTCCTTCCTCCCTCCGCCCTCTTCTCTCTCATCCTCTCTCCTTCACCTGATCCCTCCTCCGCCTTCCTCCCTCTTCTTACCTCGTCTGCCTTCCTGCATCCTCCTTTTTCCACCGCCCTTCTCCCTTCTCCCTTGTCCTCCCTACTCCTCCCTTCTCCGCCTATCCCTCTCCTCCTCCTCCTCCTCCTCCTCCTCCTCCTCCTCCTCCTCCCCGGTCTGGCATGCCCGCGCACCTCGAGGAGTGGAAGCGCGAGGCGCGGGGGAGGAGGAGAAGGAGGAGGAGGAGGAGGAGGAGGATGATGAGGACGCGGAGGAGGAGGAGGAGGATAAGACGGATGATGATGATGATGATGATGATGATGATGATGATGATGATGATGATGATGATGATGATGATGATGATGATGATTCTGATGATGATGATGAATGATGATGATGATGATGATGATAAGGAGGATGGATGATATTGAGGTGATGATGATGACGATGCTGATTATGATGATGCTGATGATGTTGATGATGCTGACGATGATACTGCTGATGATGATGGTGATGATGATGATGCTGATGCTGATGATGCTGATGATGCTGATGCTGATGGTGATGATGATGCTAATGATGCTGCTGATGCTGAGTATGCTGATGATGATGCTTATGAGGATGATGATGATGCTGATGATGATGATGATCATGATGATGATGATGATGATGATGATGATGATGATGATGATGATGCTGATGATGATGATGGTGGTGATGATGA